GTTTCCATGGAGATGCCTGTACAGTACCCTGCCCCCAGCACTGCTCCCAAAACGTATGTGGTCAGGCAGGAGTGTGTACACGGGGCTGTGGCGTGGGACGGTATGGACCTTCCTGTGATATACAATGTGATAACTGTGAGGGAGACCACTGCACGTTAAACGGGACATGTACTTCCGGGTGCAATAGAGGATGGTATGGACCTTCCTGTGATATACAATGTGATAACTGTGAGGGAGGCAACTGCACGTTAAACGGGACATGTACTTCCGGGTGCAATAGCGGGCGGTATGGTGCCAAGTGTGATGAAGCCTGTGATGCCAACTGCGAGGACCAACTTTGTCACGGTAACGGAACCTGTGAAAGATGTAAGCCCGGATTCTATGGAGACCGTTGCAGGACCACATGCAGCACTGGCTGTCGTAACCAGACATGTGACCGGAGTGGAACTTGTGGATCCTGCAGAGTTGGAAACTTTGGGGACACGTGTCAGCGACACTGCAGTTCCAACTGTGTGAATCATATCTGTGAACAAATATCAGGAACGTGTATCAATGGCTGTGCCACAGGCTGGTACGGAGACACATGTGATGTAACCTGTCCCGACCGATGTGCCTCACGGTCCTGCCACAGAGACACCGGGTCCTGTCCATCTTGTGTGCAGAGATTCCGAGGCTCCCACTGCAACGTGTCATGTCCACAGTACTGTACGAAATGTGAACAGTATAGCGACAAATGTCTCACTTGTCAACAAAAGCATTTCGGGTACAAGTGTGAAAAACTTTGTTCACTTGGTTGTAAAGGAGAAATTTGCCGCCACGAAACTGGAATATGTTCACAGGGATGTATTGGAACATTCTATGGCCATTTCTGCAACAATTCCTGCAGCGACCACTGTGTCAACAGAGCCTGTCATACAGGAAGGACCGACGTAGATACACCCCAGTGTACTGACGGATGTAGAGATGGATGGTTGGGGGACTACTGTGACAACACGTGTCCTCCTCACTGTGTGAGATGTGACAGACATCGTGGCCAGTGTCTGACGTGTGAAGCCACGAGATACGGCGAGAACTGTAACTTGACCTGTAACACTGCCTGCCTGAAGTCACAATGTAACCTGACAGGAGACTGTATAAACGGGTGTGAGAGCGGGCGTTACGGAAGCAGGTGTTCTGAGAGATGTCCCCAGGTGTGCAACACGTGTCAACACGATGGTGCCTGTGGTACGTGTGCTGATGGCTGACTGTGGTCTTCGCATGTAAAATAAATGTGTTTGTTATAACATTAGGCCACAACTCCTCATGTAATCCCTAGTGCAGAATCCTGATCTGGGTTTGTCCCCAGGGATGGTTGCACATAGCGACTTGGTTTAGCCTGAATATTTGAACGTGCAAAAAAACGAGCCAAACAATTTCATTGCACAATGCTCTCAACTTTTATCTGACTTGAGTCTTTTCTCCAACATCAAGGGGTAGCCTAGTGGGTTTACAAAGCGTCCGCTATTCACGCCGAAAATCCTGGTACAAGGTGTGAAGCCCATTTCTGGTGTCCCCCGCCGGATATTGCTGGAATATTGCTGAATCGTCGTGAAACTAAACTCTCTCCCTCACTTACTCCAACCTCAAGCTGATATAGTATCACCGAAATATTGTTGAAAGTGACATTAAACTCAACTATTCTGTTACTTGCTGTAATGGAGGAAATATTTCTCTGTTACTTCTGAATATCTAACATGTCCTCGTTTTCTTTGATAGAATCCAGCAGACCCCTGGCGCTGTGGGTTGTAATTCCATGTCTGCTGATAGCCACTCTCATCGTAATGGCCGTTGTAGTCATGCGGAGGTTAGATGAATTAAAGTTATTCCAAAGGACAGAAGGAGGGGCATTTCTGTTTTGTGATTGCTGTTCCCGTGAGGATTCCGGGTTGGACTTGGTTCCTAGTAATCTAAACGTAGGCAGGTAGAACTTGGCGAAATAATGGATCGAGTGGTCGGACTCGGTGGCATGGGTGATTGCGTGTTGGTGCACCCCGACAGCGTTGATCTTGGCTAATAATGTCAATAAACTGGTGTGTCTGGTCCAGATTGGGCAAAATGTGACAGGGCACGGGCATGGTGTTAAATGGCTGGCTCGCCGGATGGATGCTTGGATGGATGCATGGAATTATTCCATTTATATCCATAAACGTTTATAAATATAATTGACCTATGGTTTACATTGTTTAGGTATAGTCCAAGACATTCCAGGAAAGAAAGGAGACGAGTTCTTGGAGGACCAAACAGTGCCTCTTTAGTATGCATACTGAACCCAACATATGAAGCCTCTACAAACGGTAATATATACTGTGTGTTTGTATTTCTTCAGTCCAACATATTCAAGATTTTATATGTTAAAAAGTGACTAGTTATAGCAGTGAGGTAATGCCCATTGTATTTGATAAGTAAAAGTAATAAATAGTTTCTTGTGATTCATTTACAGGTTGTACAACCCCTGTGGACTTAGACGCCCTGGATTTGGGCGAGGAAGAAGTAGCGCCCCCTTGTGTTGACGTCAGGATAAGCGATGGGCAATGGTGTCCACATTCACACTCTCTAGCATCCGGTGACGTCACTGACACTGTCCTTATTGACCAAGGATGGTCAACGGAAGTGATGGTACACAATCTCAGACAATATGTTGAAAAAATGAAGAGGGATGGCAGCCTTACTTCCCAGTTTTATGTGAGTGTAATTCTATAGACGAAAACTGCTGTAATTACATAGGTTGAACCCGAAGGATATACGTATATATCAGGGGCACACTCTTGGGAAAGGGGGACGCAAACACAAAAGACACACAACACACACACAACAACACACACACACACACACACACACACACACACACACAACACACAACACAACAACACACACACACACACACACACACACACACACACACACACACACACACACACGAGATCCGCCTATGTTTATCATCTGTTTGTCATCGGCCCGCTTTTAATTTGTTGTTCCAGAACCTGCCCCGTGGACAGCTAGGTCCCTGTACCCTAGCCGGATTGGCAGAGAATGTCTCCAAGAACAGATACAGAAACATACTACCGTGTAAGTGCCTTCTGTCTTTAACTCTCATTATGCCTTTGCGTGTGCGTGTGCGTGTGTGTGTGTGTGTCTTGCACATATCAGCTGTTATATAAAGACGCCATGTTCATTAAACTGTAACTGTAAAGGTCTCAACAGTATTTGGTATCTGTTACTGGACATGCAACAGGTTGTATGCATCATAACCATTACTCCCTTTGTTATGCAGATGATCACAGCAGAGTAAAACTTTCATGCGCCCCGACTGTACCTGGTTCTGACTTTATCAACGCCAATTTTATAAATGTAAGTTCTCTGTAAGACAAAGAACACCAATGCATAGCTCATCGTCATGAAAACATTACAATGCAATGTGGCAGCCTTACCAACGGTTTAAATGTTGCCGAATCAATATCTTAATATATATATTAACTTCATGTCATTTTTAGAAGATATCGATACCTCCTGATAATGGCATATCATAGTAAATATTGTAACGTGAGATATGTAATAGTAATAGTAATAGTCCGCTTATATGGCACTCATATCCAGGCACATTGCCTGCTCACGGCGCTACGTACATTACTATCACAGGAGGACACTATCGTACTTTCCGATACTTTTTCAACTCCCTGGGACCAGACAGCCATGCTGCCTGTTAGGCGCAATGAACTAAACAGTTACATTGCCAGCACATCCTCACGTGTACCCCTTTTACAGCCGGGTGAACTGAGACAATGTGGATCTAAGTATCTTGTCCAAGGATACTACGCAACTGTGCCCACATCGGGACCCGAACCTCGGTGCCTCCTCCTGGGATCGAACCCGGGCCTTCAGCGTGATAGGCAGACACCGTACCACTGCACTATTGCGCTCCACAAATGGTATTGTATATGACCGTTGCCAACTAATGTGTTCCGCTGTTTCAGGGATATGGTGAACCGAAAGCATTTGTTGCCACACAAGGTAATACAGATTTCCCATCGTTTGAAAAAGTCCGTGGCTTCAGATAATATCTACTCACTCTTGTATGAAGAAATGTACACAAATAGTTGCCAGTGTATGTGTACTTCAGCATTATTACACACGGGTTCTGAATATCTTTATGAGATAATTATAGTTTTTTGGTTGAAAGTTATTCAACGAGTGTTGTGTAACCAAACTAGGTTATTCCAAGATAGTGACGTCAAACTGGCAAACTTTCTGTTGCCACCTCGATATTTCACATTAACATTAAGTCCATTCAAGCTTTATTTTACCAAAACTGTCAACAAAACAAAACATTAGGTTTGTGGATAATCAAAATTATATTTTTGTGATTAGTATTATTTTTCAACTGAATATTTTTAATTGTATATTTTCATCTATAAAGTAGTCGTGACAGAGTTATCTCCCTTTCGTTTTGTTTACATCCGGCATCGTCGGTTTGATTTGTCATCATGGATCACACTGTTTTCCCGTCCTGTGTGTAATAAAGATCATCACAAAACTCGTGGATGTTGAATATGGTGAATGTTCCAACGAGATATGTTTAAACCTTTTATTAATTTAATACGCTAGTAAACAAATCGAAACATTTACAAATATCTCGTTGGAATATTTTCCACATTCAACCCCCGCGAGTTTTGTAATCTCTATTTCATCAATGTGCCCCTGTAGTGTACACGTCTACATCTAACCTGCCTTCATATATCACAGGCCCTTACGCAGCTGTGATGGGGGATTTCTGGAGAATGCTATGGGAAACTGATGCCAGCAAATTGATAATGCTGACCAACTTGGTGGAGAACAGAAAGGTTAGTCAGTGGTATGTTTGTTACTGAAAAAATATCCCCCTGCGCTAATCACATCAACTTCAATGACAAATCATCGAATACAGTGTACTATTGGATAATCATGATAGTAAATGTGTTTTCCAGGCAAAGTGTGAGAAGTACTGGCCCGACTACGGCCAACCAGGCACCAGCTATGACGATGTCCATGTCCAGTGTGTGGCCCAGGAGGATCTGATGGACTACACAGTCAGGACGTTCAATCTACACAGGGTAAGGATAAACTACACAGGCAGGACGTTCCCTGTACACAGGGTAAGGATGAACTACACAGTCAGGACGTTCTCTGTACATAGGGCAAGGATAAACTACACAGCCAGGAGGTTCTCTGTTCACAGGGTAAGGATAAACTACACAGTCAGGACGTTCTCTGTACACAGGGCAAAGATAAACTGTACACAGGGTAAGGATGAACTACAACACACAGCCAGGAGGTTCTCTGTTCACAGGGTAAGGATGAACTACACAGTCAGGCCGTTCCCTGTACACAGGGTAAGGATAAACTACACAGTCAGGACGTTCTCTGGAGGGTTCTGAACTGTACACAGGTCGGTACACAGGGTAAGGATGAACTACACAGTCAGGTCGTTCTCTGTACACAGGGTAAGGATGAACTACACAGTCAGGAGGTTCTCTGTACACAGGGTAAGGATAAACTACACAGTCAGGAGGTTCTCTGTACACAGGGTAAGGATGAACTACAGAGTCAGGTCGTTGTACACAGTCTGTACACAGGGTAAGGATGAACTACACAGTCAGGAGGTTCTCTGTACACAGGGTAAGGATAAACTACACAGTCAGGAGGTTCTCTGTACACAGGGTAAGGATGAACTACACAGTCAGGTCGTTGTCTGTACACAGGGTAAGGAAGATCTACAAAGTCAGGACGTTCTCTGTACACAGGGTAAGGATGAACTACACAGTCAGGATGTTCTCTGTACACAGGGTAAGGATGAACTACACAGTCAGGTCGTTCTCTGTATACAGGGCAAGATAAATTACATAGATGAACTGAATGGATCAATACATAGGGTACGGTGAGGTGACACAGGGTTTAGTACACAGGGTATGCTGAGGTGAAACAAGGATCAATAGACAGCGTATGGTGAGGTAAAACAGGGATTAATACACAGTGTACAGTGAGGTGAAATGTGAATCAGTTCACAGGGTACGGTGAGGTGAGACAGGGATTAATAAGGGTACACAGGGGTACACACGGTGAGGTGAAACAGGGATCAATAGACAGGGTACGGTGATGTGAAACAGGGATTAATACACAAGGTACGGTGAGGTTAGGTGAAACAGGGGATCAATAGACAGGGTACGGTGAGGTGAAACAGGGATTAATAGACAGGGTACGATGGGGTGAAACAAGGATTAATACACAGGGTACGGTGAGGTGAAACAGGGATTAATACACAGGGTACGGTGAGGTGAAACAGGGATCAATAGACAGGGTACGGTGAGGTGAAACAGGGATTAATACACAGGGTACGGTGAGGTGAATCAGGGATGAATAGACAGGGTGCGGTGAGGTGAATCAGGGATGAATAGACAGGGTACGGTGAGGTGAAACAGGGATCTATATGCACGGTACTGTGAGCAAAAGCAGCGATTGATATCAGCTTGTCCCTTGTTATACAAGGACATCAAATAGATTACCGTAAAGATAAATGCGGAATAATACATTTGGTTTTGTATATAGATTACCGTAAATATAAATGCGAAATAATACATGTGGTTTGGTGCATAGATTACCGTGAAGATAAATGCGGAATAATACATGTGGTTTGGTGCGGTGTAAATGGGTTCGGGTTGACACCAAGTAAAGGACTCAGTTTATTATTATCTCGTTTGATGACACCCTTCGTTTTACAAAGATCTTATACTATTTACAATGAGAGATTTGTCTGGAACAATAGTCAGTGTTTTCCAACAAGCATTGTTTCACAGGAAGGACAGCCACCGAGGACGCTGCAGCACTACCACTTCACAGCATGGCCAGACAAGGGTGTTCCACTTGAAGTTAGGTCTCTTGTTGAGTTCTACAGGCTTGTCAGCAACTCCCCATCTACAAGCCATGGGCCAAAGGTCGTACACTGCAGGCAGGTAGCACTGACTCACATATTGTGTGAGGACGTAATCCAGACTTCTGTCAATACCAGATCATTTACCGTTCCCATTAGTAACCCATACGGTCACATAGAAAACTTCTTTTACTGCGGATTCCGGACTGAAATTGATTTAAGAAGACGATTTTACCATGAAATAGCTCCTGTAACTTAACGCTTCAAACACACCAACAGCATATCCTTTGACGAAGAAGAATTTATTTGATTCATGTGCTTTATAGTTTGATAAGATTCAGTTGCTATCCAAAATCAGACCGATCGTTTCTTTAAATATTTTGCATGTGTTTTCCAGTGCTGGGATTGGCCGCACAGGAACCTTTATTGCTCTGGACTATTTGGTTGCACAAGCCAAGGAGAAAGGCGTCGTAGATGCCTATGAGTGTATTGTCAAACTCCGGCACCAGCGTATGGATCTTATCCAGACAAAGGTGAGAGCTGATGGAGATTAATTTTTCCTGTAAGAGTGATGGTATCATATGTATTGTTTGTGGATTGTAATTTCCAAATGTTTAATTCGAGACTTTTTCCTTTTTCTGTTCCTGGAATGAAAAATATAATACAAAACATAGCCCATTAATAGAGATAAGAACTCCAAGAAGAAACCTGCGATCCGAGGGGTGCAAACCTTTTGGCTCATTTCTCTTTGAAGATGCCCATTAGTCTGCACCGTTTGTGTTTGTGTCATTCTATGTTGCTCACCACCCCAGTATGTATCAGTCAGTTGTGTGGTGTGATCCTAGTCATCCACTAGTAGACATACATTTGACCACTTGCAGCATGTAATGGGCCATAGTATATGGGGGTATTCATTTTAAAGGATTATTATTATCTGTTTGTAGGATCAGTACATATTTCTACACGATGCTTTGATCGAGGCCCTTCCCTCGTCTGACAGACCGACAAGAAGAAACCCGTGAATGCAAGGTCCTAAAAACATTTGTATAAACAATCAAACACAGTTGTGTCGAACATACGGGTGTCTCGATACAAAAACTTGTATCCTGTGTATTCATTCTATATACAGCTTTTTCGGTTGTATCGAACCTTGGGTAACTGAAAACTTTTCTTAGGTTCCTACAACTTCGCAACAACGGTATTTTGACAGTGTAGTGATGACGACAAAAATGCCTCGTGGATTTCTATGATATTTACGGTAATTTATGCACCAAACCACATGTACTTCCAAAATGACATGTAATTTGTTGTGCACTTGCACTGGGTTAATGCCTTAATCTGCTAAGAATGTTCAACACCATCATCACTTTTACATAAAATGCTAGTGTTACAACGAAGTCAACCGAAAATATTGTATCAGAGGCTACGTATCTAGATAGAAAATGTCTGGTTTGTGAGTGTGAGTGTTCCAGTCTCTAAACTCCTACCAGTTTGTGTATGTGAGTATATATGTCCACGTGTTTGTGGGTCTGAGTGTTCCTGTCTCTAAACTCCTACCAGTTTGTGTATGTGAGTAGGTATATATGTCCACGTGTTTGTGTGGTCTGGAGTGTTCCTGTCTCTAAACTCTCACCATTTTGTGTATCTGAGTATATAAGTCCACGTGTTTGTGAGTGTGAGTGTTTCTGTGTCTAAACTCCTACCAGTTTGTGTATCTGAGTATATATGTCCACGTGTTTGTGAGTGTGAGTGTTCCTGTCTCTAAACTCCTATCAGTTTGTGTATCTGAGTATATATGTCCACGTGTTTGTGGGTCTGAGTGTTCCTGTCTCTAAACTCCTACCAGTTTGTGTATCTGAGTATATATGTCCACGTGTTTGTGAGTGTGAGTGTTCCTGTCTCTAAACTCCTACCAGTTTGTGTATCTGAGTATATATGTCCACGTGTTTGTGAGTGTGAGTGTTCCTGTCTCTGTAAACTCCTACCAGTTTGTGTATGTGAGTATATATGTCCACGTGTTTGTGAGTGTGAGTGTTCCAGTCTCTAAACTCCTACCAGTTTGTGTATCTGAGTATATATGTCCATGTGTTTGTGAGTGTAAATGTTCCTGTCTCTAAACTCCTACCAGTTTGTGTATGTGAGTATATATGTCCATGTGTTTGTAATGTGAGTGTTCCTGTCTCTAAACTCCTACCAGTTTGTATATCTGAGTGTATATGTCCACGTGTTTGTGAGTGTGAGTGTTCCTGTCTCTAAACTCCTATCAGTTTGTGTATCTGAGTATATATATCCATGTGTTTGTGGGTCTGAGTGTTCCAGTCTCTGAACTCCTACCAGTTTGTGTATCTGAGTATATATGTCCACGTGTTTGTGGGTCTGAGTGTTCCTGTCTCTAAACTCCTACCAGTTTGTGTATCTGAGTATATATGTCCACGTGTTTGTGAGTGTGAGTGTTCCTGTCTCTAAACTCCTACCAGTATTTGTCCACGTGTGTCTGTGAGTTCCCTGTATATAAACTCCTACCACGTGTTTGTGTGTGTGAGTGAGTGTCCTGTCTCTGAGCTCCTACCAGTTTGTGTATCTGGTATATATGTCCACGTGTTTGTGGGTGTGAGTGTTCCTAAGCTCCCACCAATCCTGAGTATATACCAGTTTGGCCAGTGTGTATCTGAGTTTGTGTATGAGTATGTCCACGTGTTTGTGAGTGTGAGTGTTCCTGTCTCTAAACTCCTACCAGTTTGTGTATCTGAGTATATATGTCCATGTGTTTGTGGGTCTGAGTGTTCCAGTCTCTAAACTCCTACCAGTTTGTGTATCTGATTATATATATATCCACGTGTTTGTGAGTGTGAGTGTTCCTGTCTCTGAACTCCTACCAGTTTGTGTATGTGAGTATATATGTCCATGTGTTTGTGGGTCTGAGTGTTCCTGTCTCTAAACTCCTACCAGTTTTTGTATCTGAGTATACCTATGCTTATGTCCACGGTAAGCCAGGTGTCTGGCAAGTTAGGGAGTTTAGATAGCTGTAAGACTGTAGAGTCAGAACTACCCGAACTGTAAAAAGCCTTGTCATGTACAGAGATATAGACCTCGGGGTTGCTGGGATGATGGAATGGTCGAGAAGATGATCA